TATGCAAATTAGGCAAATGCATTAATTAAGCATGCAAATAGCTGATTTTTCGGGAAAATTGTAACTTTGCGTGAATAGTTAAGGGGCTTAAACTAAACCAAATTGTCTGAAATTTTGTACAGTAATTAAAAACCCGACAAATTTTCAATCTATTAACTCAAAATGTGATTACAGCTTTTAAATTTTATGCGCGAGCCATTTTTAGTTTGTTGGAAAAGACACCCCCCCCTGGTTCACAAAATTTGAGTTCGAGAAATTTTTCTCATTATTCTACATTATAAGTACCCAAAGAGGCCATATATATAAAAAAAACGGATACAAATAGCTGTTTTGCGAAATTGAGAGCAATTTTAAATCTGTTCAGTTTTTTTTGATACACCCTGTATATATATACAATAATAAATCGTTGTCCGTTGTACAAAAAGAGTGCTCAATAACAAATTTAATTGATAGAGCAAAATATACTAATTATAATCTTAAAATTTTATTAATCGCTACACAGTGTTTCACGCTTTCAAAGCGATCTTCAGGCGATACTACTCTAAATAGTTTGCTTACGCCATTCATTCAACGGTCCGCTGACGCGATTGCATAATGCGCGCGTGCGTTTAAAATTCCGCGCGCTAAATGAGTTTCTGTGGCGGCACTTTGAAAATAGTTCTGTTCGTTTGTTCAACGTCCTATCTTTGTGAGATTTAATTATATAAAACTTCTCCTCTAAGCAAAGGTTGCAAGAATTTGCACCTGCTGTATGGGCTGATGCATGCGACAAAACCGACCACTTTATAGTATACGGTCGGTTACTTTGTTTTAGCTTCCATGCGTACTTAGAAAGTTCGGTTTCGTTTGAATAGCGAGGTGAGTTGATGGATTTCTTGTGGTTGGCATATCTTGCTTTAAACCTCCCTGCTGTCATACCAATATACTCTTTCGTTTCACCGACGTCTGTTGTTCTAATCTCAGCCTTATATACAATGCTTTTCGTAAGACAATTACCATCGAGAGGGCATTCGTCATATTTATTCATATTTATTCATATTTATTCGTCACAGTTTTTACAAAACTGGGAATAATTTGCTTTCGTACATGATTTGTTTGTTTTATATATCAAGTGTCTAATATTATATTATCAGAAATATACACATAATATGCATATAAGGAACGGTGAAGAGAATCAATCAGAGTCTTGTCTTCGTCATGGAAGATCACACATTTTTGAGCTCCGTCAAACAATGTGAGGGTTGCACAATCCTGTCTGAAGAAGTTAAAGAACTCCGGAAGACGGTTTACTCTGTATTAAGAAGGCTAGATGATTTATCCGCAAAAAGTAAGCAAAATGAAGCAGCACTGGAGCAAAAGTTTGATGACACCTATGATGTAATTAAAGACGGTGTTCTTAACAATGGCCACAGTATTAAAGCTATCAAGGACAAAATAAAAAACTCAGAGGACAGGCTGCTACAGAAATTTAATTCAATCCATAATTCAAAACAAAAAGACGCTGAGGAAAGTAATCATGCATTAAATCACGAAAATACGGTTGAACGCAACAACAAAGGGCAGTGGACTAAATTTCAAAATCATAAGAAACCAAAAGAAGTTAAAACTCTTATCATTGGCGACTCAATTATGAAAGACATTGATCCGAAATTGATGTCGGCTGATGGTAGTATTATTAAGAAAAGTCATCCTGGGGGAAAACTTGAAGATATGTCATCTTTGCTTAATAACTGTGAATTAAAATGCAAAAAATCTGTTATTATTCACATGGGCACTAATAACATTACGTCAAATGATTCACCAACAGACATGGCATTGAAGCTCACGACTGAAATAGAGAAGGTCCAATCATTGACGCAAGCGCCTCGTGTGATCGTCTCTGGTATAATACATCGGAAAGATGTCAAAGCAAACCTGAAAATTACCGAGGCTAATAAACAGCTCAAGCAAATTTGCTATGAAAAGAAATGGAAATTTATTGATAATGAGCGCATCGATGATTCTCGTCTTAACTCAAGCAAGTTACATCTAAACAAGAAGGGAAGTGCATACTTAGCATCAAATTTTCTGAAGAAAATAAACCCAAATACAAGAAGGAGCAGTGATAGGAGTTCATCAAAGGCAAAGAGTGGAAATTTTCAGCAACAGAATTCATTGCTGACAGCCCTGGTACAGAACTTCCTTCAAAATCAAGACCACAGGTGAATCTCGAGTGTGCTAGTATTAATTATAGTGACATTATACCCGAGGTTAGAATCACTACAGTACCTAGTCAATCTAATTTCCATATTAGCTCGGAACCAAATATAATTAATGTTAGGACTATATGTAGTAAACAAAATGCTCACAATATTCATACCCAAAGTACTGAAGTGCATAAAATTAATAATTCTAGATCTAAGGCTAAGTCAAATGTTAAGTCTAATGCTCATAATGTCAAAGAAAAAGGTAGCAAAATTGCATGTCTTAACGTTACCAGTTTACCGAAACACTTAGACGAAATTCGTCTACTTTTGTTTGACCGAGAGTTTGAGATTCTTGCCCTAAATGAGACAAGGCTTGATGATTTGATACAAAGTGGTACAGTTGATATTGACGGATACGACATAGTCCGTCTCGACCGAAATAGATTTGGTGGCGGGGTTTGTTTTTATGTCCGTAACAGTATCAACTATATAGTAAGAGATGATCTCTTAACCAAAGAATTAGAAATGCTAACATTAGAAATAATGAAACCATTTACCAAACCTTTCCTTATTACAACTTGGTATAGGCCTCCAAATCTCTCACGAGATTGCCTTTCAACTCTTGAACAGTATCTAATCAAACTCGACTCTGAAGAAAAAGAATCTCTACTTCTTGGTGATTTTAATTGCGATATATTGCATAATCTGCTCAGTGTTCTTACCAAAGATGTCACTTTTCTTCTAGAATCTTATCAAAGAGGCTACTCGAATAACCCAGAGTAGCAAAACATTGATTGACCATATTTATTCTAATACTACTCACATGGTTAATTCTAGTGGAGTGTTACATATCGGTATTAGCGATCATAGTTTAATTTATTGTGTTCATAAATTCCTAAGTTTTAAAACATCAAATCGGGGAAAGACCATCAAGTACAGATGTCTCAAAAAATTTAAATTAAATTTGTTCCTAGCGGACCTGGAAAGAGTTCCTTGGAACAATATTTTTAATTTTGATGATCCCAATAGCATGTGGACAACTTGAAAGTCTATGTTTTTGACTGTTTATGACTTTCACACACCCATAAAATAAAGCGTGTTAAATCAGCATGTGCTGCGTGGTTAAATAAAAACCTAAAGGAGCTTATGTTTAAGAGAGATGCTTTGAAAAGGAAAGCTAGTATAACTTCCTTACCCGATGATTGGAGAAACTACAAACAAATTAAAAATACTGTAAACATTGCCATAAAATCAGCCAAATCTGCATATTTTGATAACAAATTCAATTCTTGCAAAGGAGATATTAAGAAAACCTGGAAAACGCTAAATAATTTATTATCGTGTAAAATCAATCGACCACAATAAAAAACCTAGCTACTGGTCACAGTGAATTAAACGATTCGTATCAAGTCGCAAATTACATAAACCAGTATTTTGCAAATATAGGCGAAGAACTAGGCAATTCAACGACTGATACAAATATACCATATGAGAAATATATCACCCCTAGTCTGTGGTCAGTTCCGATTAACATGTATTCGGTTTTAGTGATGTTGATTTGTAATCTGTTAGCACAAAGCCATACTTCAATTTCAGCTAGATCTTTATTTAGCTTAATTTCAAGTTCAGATATATTCTGCGATGCAGTATACACTTGAGTATCATCGACATAGAGGTCAGCTTTGGAATTAACAAGGCAGTTTGGAAAATCATTGATAAATGTTAGAAATAGCAATGGACCCAAAATTGATCCTTGTGGAACACCGCATTTAATAATGGCTTCATTGGACAATTTCATATTTACAAAAGATTTTTGGTGCCTATCGCTAAGATAGCTTTTGAACCAGTGCAAAGTTACCTCTTTAAGGCCATACAGGTCAAGCTTTCGTAATAATATTTCATGATTTACTGAGTCAAAAGCTTTTTTTAGGTCAATAAATATGACTCCAGTAATCAATCCGTTATCAGCATTGGTGTAAAATTCATTGGTTGCATGTAAAAGACTAGTAACAGTAGAATGTTTTGTTCGAAATCCTGACTGATTTTTAGACAGAATATTGTGTTTGGTAAGATAGTTGTATAATTGATTATACACGATTCTTTCCAATATTTTTGCCACAATCGGTAAAATTGAAATCAGGCGGTAGTGTTCAGCGTTGTTTCTTTTGTTTCCTTTCTTATTTTTAAATAATGGAAAAACATTTGCTAACTTCCATTCATTTGGAAAAATACCAGTTTTAAAAGACTGGTTGAAAATAACAGTTAACCAAGGTGAAATTATTGGGCCTGACATTTTGAGGATTTTGGTGGATATACCATCCCATCCGGTGGCTTTGCATGTAGCTAATGAATTTAAAATACTTAAAACTTCAGATGAGCAGGTGTTCTCTAAAGTAAATTCAGTGTGGGATGGGGTGATTTGGACCATGAACCAGTCCTAATACTCAATTTCGAGTAAAATTTAGGATTAATCTATGATGAGCATCTTCGTTGGGACGATCACATCAATGAATTAATCGAAAAAATTACTCAAGCTTTAAAAATGATACGACGTGTTAGCTCTTTCATGTTCAGACAAAATCTGTTACTAATTTACCATAGCTTAGTTGAACAACAACTAAACTATTGTAGCGAAGTTTGGGACACTCTGTCTGATGGCCTATCCCAAAAATTGCAAAACAGGGCAGCCAGAATCATCACAAAGAGCGTGTATGACGCTTCATCTAGTGAATTACTTGTTGAACTTAGGTGGCGTGCACTTGCTCATGAGTGAAGAACTAAAAAAGCTATCATGATGTACAAAGTGCTTAACAACTTGGCTCCTGAGTATTTAAAAGATTTGTTTTGAGAAACCAATCAAGTACATGATCATGATTTGCAAAACTCTGATCTAAATCTTTTACCTCCAAAACCAAAGAGCAATCTTCTCAAAAAGAGTTTTTCATACAGCGGAGCTGTAATCTGGAATTCTCTTCCAAGAGATGTTCGCTTGGCTAATTCGCTAACAGAATTTAAGAGGTCGCTAAAATTTAGTGTATAACTCTCCAATAGTGTATAGCCTATACAGCATGATATTATATTATAGTTTTATATTAATTTTTCATGTCATTAGTTTTGTAACTTTATTTATGTATATATAGTTAATGCACGTCACTCTGGAAGAGCACTTTTGTGAATGAGTTTTTACGTGGGTAAATAAAGATTTCTATTCTATTCTTTCCCTTTTTGTCACTCCCCCCCCCCCCACCTACTCTGACTACCACCCAGATACACATTGATAAACAATTAACATTAACTAATTAACAAATTAAGGTTAGCAGCGAGTGTGATCAGTTAACATTTTCGCGAGACACAAAAATTTTGTGGGTGACATCATCTATAAGAGTATGGGTTACGCCCAAAAAGCCACACCCTACTCTGTGCGACAAATGTTCTGTTAACATGTGAAACTTATTATGCGAACCATGCAACACATTATTCCCATATATACAACTCATTTACAAAGAATCTGAAATTGTTTAAAACACCAAGTCTTATGATTTATTAAGACAATCCTTCACAAAAATTATTGAGACTTGCATATTTATCTGTAAAATTAGCAAATTCTTACCCTCAGGAGCTCATCCTTCCTCCCCTCCCCCTTCAAAACAATGTTGACTGTTATTGCAAGCATTGTGCTACACAATTTCAACTCAATCACGAGCAACATTGCTCTGTAGGGGGGAGGAGAGAGGAAATTATACTTTCACATGGGTAGTCTCATAATTTTTGTGAAGGATTGTAGAGAAGCTATACCCAGTCTACTATTAGATCATAGGCTGTATCCCCTAGCCCCAAAAGGGCACTACTTTAAATTTACACAAATCTATAGATTTTTATATGCTGAGTACGAATTCACTTCTTATCACTCGCACAAAGCTGCAGTTTTTTGTATTTTACAATCAAACATCCCCCCATCCACATCAACAAACCCTCGCCTTGCTGACAAAAACATTGTATTTTCCGAACATGAAGTATCCAAAGTTGTTGTCATGGTAACACAATAACTTTTTAAGAATATTCTTACAAATGAAAAATCGCCTAAGAACATAACTTTTAATTACAAAATTATCAATTTCCCAACATATATATGTTAGCTATGTTATTATATATATAATATAAGCTTCAATTTAAGGTAAAATTCAACCACAAACACTTCGCAAAACGTTTTAAATTAAAGTGTTCTTTATAAAACTAAACTGCCTTTAATTAAATGGCTTTATCGATAAACTTTGAGTTTGCAATAAAATGATTTCAAATTCTTGCATGCAAATAACTTTGCTTTCTTTTTTATTTAAAAAATTCAATATAATAAAAAAGGGAATCAATATTAATAATACACTAAAATTATATGCTGTCTTGTTTAGTTGTTTCATATACGCAAAGGGCCAAAGGCCGTCAGGTTTTAAAGCAATTCTAAAATCAATATTTAAAACAAACTTACCTTTGTTAACATCAGCTCCCTTCTTTTAGCCGATTCTTTCGCCCTTTCTTTCTGAGAAAGCTTTTGAAATTTACAAATCTTGCAAAAATGAAATATATTTGCAAATAATTTATCAATCATCAAATCAAGAAATGTTTGCTATATCGCTGTCGTTATAATGCAAATTTTAAATTGGACAATCAAGTGTCTGCTATTTATGACAGTCCGCCATATTTTTGAGATCAGTGAGGATGACCACCTACCGAACCACTCACGGTAACCCATGCCCACGCTCATTGATGAACTTTAGACTTGGCTAATGCTTTCGTTTCCCCGGGTGTAAATAGCAGGGGGAATTAGTACCCTCGCACAGCGCTTCGCGCCGTCGGCTCGGGGATAAAAATATAGATATTTTTCCACAATATTAAAATGCGAAAGGTACTGTTACAAGTTTGTAAATAATCAGGAACAAATCTACTATTCTTTATTGCACCAACGTTGGGGTTTTTTGCCTCAATTTGATGTGAAAAATTATTGCAAAGACTGTCACTATATCCACAACTATGTCCTTGGTGAAGTTGTTTAATTTATTACTGAAATTATGTATATAATTTTAGCCTTACAATGTGAATAGGCAATTTTTCTTTGAAATTTTTGTTAACACTGAATAAGGAGCACAATATATTTGTTGTTTAATAAATGTTAGGAAAATATACAGAAATAAAAATATACTCCATGCATGTTTGTTTCTTTATTGGACCAACTTTTGTTGTTTTTTTCCTCACCTTGATGTAAAATTGCACTGTCATCCACAAAGACTCACTTATCCTTGGTAAAGCTAGTTGTTTATTTTATTCATTTAATACTGAAATTATGTACATAATTTAGCCTTGCAATACACCTATCGCGAAATCAATTAACGACGAGAGCAAATGCGCATGTCTTAACCGGAAGTGCGGTAAAATCTTGTCCGCGCACTTGTAACAATGTATGCAAATATATAGACGCGATTTATTACCCGAGTTTAACTTCGAAAAAAAGCTCTAAAAGGCAATGGAAAACGTTGAATATACTCTTGAGGACTTTGGTACATGGAAAGTGGTCGCCTTGAAAGAGTTCTTGTCAAAACGGGCATTAAAAATCGAGGGAAATAAAGCTACGTTAGTCGCTCATGCCTTTGCTGCTTGGGAGATGCAAGTCCCTATTTCAAACACTTCAGTACAGCGTGAAGCTGAAATAAATGCAGCATATCAGACCCTCCTAACGGTGGATTTGGGTAGCTCTTCGGTAGTTCTACCTGATCCTTTAAAAGAAGTGTCTGCTTGGATAACAGAAAACGAAGGAATCAAGGACTGGCCTCCGATTTACTTTAATGACATCTGCGTGTTTATCCTAAGCAAGCACCCTGGTAAAGATGTTGGAATGCGTCAAAGGATGCTCAACGAGTATAAAGAAGGCAAAGCATTTCGTTATTTCGACAATAACTGGTTAAAAGAAGTTTTTTTTTACCCCATCAAGGACACAGGCTATTGCTTTTTGAAAGCGGATTGCACCCCTTCTATGCGCCTCAGTCATTTGCCACATCAAGTTTGGGTTTGTGCCCATAAAACAAAGGGTGATATAAAGTCTGCATATTGCACTTGTACTGCAGGGTGAGTAGAATTTATATTGACCTATATAATATAGGTTTTGTGCATAACAATAATGCAGCAATAGCAGTGGGCTATTCCATTTAACCCCCCCCCCCCTATTGATTAAAGCACTTAAGATTTACCCCTCAGAAAAAGATCAAAGTGCTGACATATACACCCCCTCAGAAAAGGCAGAATTGTTTTCCAAACCCTTCAGAAATTTTGGAGATCAAAGGATGCTGACAGAGTGAACCCCGCAGAAATTGCTTTCATGAGACCCCTAATCAATAGGGGGGATGGACATTAAATGGAATGCCCTAATATGGTTGTGTATAGAGATGTTTCTGGAGACAGTGTAAATTTTTTTTTTGCATTCACAAAATGTTTCTGAAATGGTGTATTTTCTATACTTTAGACTTGGCGAGACCTGTAACCATGTTGCTGCTCTGTTGTATCGAGTGGAAGCTGCAGCTAGACTTGGTGTGACAAATCAGCCAGCATGCACATCCCTTCCCTGCAAATGGACACCACCAAGCAAGAAGACAAACGTTAACCCCAAAATGGTATGTGAGATGGATTGGAAGAGAACTAAGCATGGGGAATTTGGTAATAAAACAACTAGTTCTTTTCTATTATTTTTTTACTTGTATTTCAAACCTAACCCTAAAACCCTAACCCCCAACCATGATTTTATGTCAGTATTTGTACCAAACCTGTTGTGCCAAAAACAGTCATTATGATTTAATACATTGGGTCTAATATTAAGTCCATCTTGTTTTAGAGAAAAGACCTCTTATTTCTACCAAGAAACAACTTTTTTCATTGATAAAAAAAAGTGGAACAGTGCAGTCAACTAAGGTTGCA